AAAACAACACATTGCTATCAATACCATCACACAACAGCAAAGAGAAGCATTAAAACTAAAGATCAATAAATGTTAGGACAGTGGTATACATTTTCGGGGGAAAAAAGAGTATTAATTACAAATTTGGTTAAAGTATCCTAATAAGTATCAGTGTTTTAAGTAGATTGTTTATGAATGGATTTTCAGATCAATTATTCTACTACACACATAACGCTTTTATATATCACTTTCAATTTTTTCTAATTTTATTCCTTTGCGTTCCCAGCGGAACATAGGGCTTCAGACTAGAGATTCGAGGTTGGGTTGCTAGCCCCACGCCAAACCTTCCCTCTTTATTGATCTTATTATCAGCTTAGCGAGGTAAAGTAGTGCATCGGCCGGGGACCAAACCCCGGACCACATGCGTGGTTGGCTAGCATACCCCCTCTGAGCCGCCAACATCAGGGGGGGGTAAATTTGTTCGCTGCACCTTTCTAGATTATACATCTGCTTTCGACTCAGTACCTAGGGACATTTTACTAAACAAGCTCGCCTAAACTCAAACTGGCTGTTGGGTTGTCAAATGGCTCCATTCTTATTTCTCAGAAAGAAAGCAATACACTGTATGTCAGGGAAAGTCGTCCACTTCATTGCTTACTGAGGCTGGTGTCCCCCAAGGCGCTGTCCTTTCTCCTTTTCTGTTTTCTTTCTTCTTGCATGACTTGCCTCACTCCGATGAAATGAACTTTGTTAAGTATGCCGATGATCTAACTATTTCAATGTCTGTTAACTCTCAGCTTGACTGCATTAAGATTAACAACTTTCTATCAGGAATTAGCAAATGGTCTTCGTCTAACGGCCTTAAACTTAATCCTTCCAAATGTCAGACTGTTAATTTCAGTTTCCGATGTAAACGAAAGTTAAATAAAGCCGTTGGTTCCTATGACCCTTGCAAAATCGATAATACTGATATAGAAACCAAGTCTGAATTTAAGTAACTTGGATTAATTCTCTCTTCTGACCTATCCTGGTCCTCCCATGTCTTAGCGATTTCTAAACCAATATTTCGTCTGACTTTTTACATTAAGAAGTTAAGGCACTCAGGCATAACTCAACCACTCCTCTTACAGTTTGTCAACTCGTTTATTTTACCTATTCTTCTGTACTGTTTACCCTTATTCTTTCCTGGATTGTTTTAAAAAGACTATGTCATACTTCGTAGAACTCTGAAAATTGTCAGTAGAACGAGTGGTATCCCATTGGGCCATATCGTTGACATTGTCACTGATAGGCATTTGATGTCATGCAACAGATTCGCTAGAGGAATTTTGTGAGACTCTGAGCCCCCACTCTACCCGCAGCTCCAACCTTGTGTCTCCTCAGGTAAAACAAGAAGTTTGAAGAGAGAAAGAACGAACATGTTTGCAGGATAATATGAGCTCGTTTTATTTCGTGGATTCTCATCAACTGCATACATCCTACACAAAATCAAATTATAGGTTTCAAGAAAGTTGTGGAACATACTTTTTCATAAATACTTTGAGTTATAGATAGAAGGCATAAGGAACATAATTCCAGAATTTGATGTAGGTAGACAGATTATTCGGTGTCAAAAAACAACTAATTATATCAGTTAGAGAACCATTGAAAACCAGGGAGTACTGGACAGCTGCTGTTTCATCCTAGTTTGGGAATCGTCGGCAGTACGCACCCACTGGGATTCGAACCCGGGACCTTCCGGCTACAAGGCAAGCTCGTATTCCATTCAGCCACTGGGAGCTGACACCGAATAATCTGTCTACCTACATCAAATTCTGGAATTATGTTCCTTATGCCTTCTATCTATAACTCAAAGTATTTATGAAAAAGTATGTTCCACAACTTTCTTGAAACCTATAATTTGATTTTGTGTAGGATGTATGCAGTTGATGAGAATCCACGAAATAAAACGAGCTCATATTATCCTGCAAACATGTTCGTTCTTTCTCTCTTCAAACTTCTTGTTTTACCTGAGGAGACACAGGGTTGGAGCTGCTGGTAGAGTGGGTGCTCAGAGTCTGACAAAATTCCTCTAGCGAATCTGTTGCATGACATCAAATGCCTATCAGTGACAATGTCAACGATATGGCCCAATGGGATACCACTCGTCCTGACCGACAGTCTTCATAGTTCTACGAAGTATGACATAGTCCTTTTTAAGCAATCCAGGAAAGAATAATGGTGAACAGTAAAGAAGAATAGGTAAAATACACGAGTTGACAAACTGTAAGAGGAGTGGTTGGGTTATGCCTGAGTGCCTCAACTTCTTAATGTAAAAAGTCAGACGAAATATTCTTTGAGAAATCGCTAAGACATGAGAAGACCAAGATAGGTCAGAAGAGAGAACTAATCCAAGATACTTAACTTCAGACTTGCTTTCTATATCAGTATCATCGATTTTGCAAGGGTCATAGGAACCAACGGCTTCATTTAACTTTCGTTTACATCGGAAACTGAAATTAACAGTCTGACATTTGGAAGGATTAAGTTTAAGGCCGTTAGACGAAGACCATTTGCTAATTCCTGATAGAAAGTTGTTAATCTTAATGCAGTCAAGCTGAGAGTTAACAGACATTGAAATAGTTAGATCATCGGCATACTTAACAAAGTTCATTTCATCGGAGTGAGGCAAGTCATGCAAGAAGAAAGAAAACAGAAAAGGAGAAAGGACAGCGCCTTGGGGGACACCAGCCTCAGTAAGCAATGAAGTGGACGACTTTCCCTGACATACAGTGTATTGCTTTCTTTCTGAAAAATAAGAATGGAGCCATTTGACAACCCAACAGTCAGTTTGAGTTTAGGCAAGCTTGTTTAGTAAAATGTCCCTAGGTACTGAGTCGAAAGCAGATGTATAATCTAGAAAGGTGCAGCGAACAAATTTACCCCCCCCTGATGTCGGCGGCTCAGAGGGGGTATGCTCGCCAACCACGCATGTGGTCCGGGGTTTGGTCCCCGGCCGATGCACTACTTTACCTCGCTAAGCTGATAATAAGATCAATAAAGAGGGAAGGTTTGGCGTGGGGCTAGCAACCCAACCTCGAATCTCTAGTCTGAAGCCCTATGTTCCGCTGGGAACGCAAAGGAATAAAATTAGAAAAAATTGAAAGTGATATATAAAAGCGTTATGTGTGTAGTAGAATAATTGATCTGAAAATCCATTCATAAACAATCTACTTAAAATACTGATACTTATTAGGATACTTAAACCAAATTTGTAATTTATACTCTTTTTTCCCCCGAAAATGTATACCACTGTCCTAACATTTATTGATCTTTAGTTTTAATGCTTCTCTTTGCTGTTGTGTGATGGTATTGATAGCAATGTGTTGTTTTACAACAGTGATTTTGATTGAGTGAAGTCAAGGTTACATCGCGGAGTGAGAATTAAACCCTGGAATTTCTGCGGGAAACGTGTTCGTTCTATTCGATTCTTGAAGGTAGAATTTTCCTCCCACCTTGTTGGGAATATTCGTATTGATTTTAAAGTAGCTTATAATTGTTTTTGGCCAGTTAATTTTGTTGTATTTGAGAAGTTTGTAGACTGTATAACTGCCAGACGGCATTGTTGAAATAGTTTTGTATTTTTGATACAAGTTATTATTGTTGTAGATTAATACCACAGATTCTATCACATCAAAGTGTGTTTTTGATATTTTTAGAATAATTTTGGACTGGAAATGACCCGCGGAATTTCGGTAAGCTGTACAGAAGAATGCATTGATTGGTCTCTTGCATGTAGACTGAAATATTCGAGTTTTCTTTGTTACAATATGCGAATGAATATTGTTTTTTTCAACTGTTTTAAAAAAAAATAAAATCCATTAGCGTACTTGTTATTATTTAAGAAATTTCTGATTTTTCTCTTGGTAACGTGATTAAGTTCTCCTTTGAAACGTTTAATAACATTGAATTCCAGGTGAACAAGAATTTTAAAATGATCATTTCAAAAATGTTATAAGGGGTGTTAGTAGGTTGTGGTTGCCGTCTAACTTGACCAGAAGGTGCCTCCAGGTACACGACACTATAACTACCTGGTCATTTGAAAGTCCCCAAACACACACACACACATTGAGATAGACACAAAAGTTAAATTCAGCCGCGACAGAAGACAAGGGCCAGGCAACAGATCGTTTATTGAGGAAATCAAGAGATATTTGTAGATTTTTATGTACATTATTATTCGTTATTATGAGAAGAGAAACAACGTCTTCTGATTGGATGTTTTCCCGCTGAGAGTTATTCTGTCATCTCTTTCTGGCCGATTCTTTGAATGTCAGACCATATATCTGCGAATCGTATCCGTCCACGCAAAATCTGCTGTTATTGTTGCTGAGTTACTTTTTGTTCTTTTTTTCTATATGTCTAAAACTTGGGCACTGTGCTAATAAGTAATTCCATATTAGTTTGTTTATTAGATGGATGACGTTTCGAACAAAATTTATTGTACATAATCATTTCAATTGTAATCACACGACTTTAAAACTTGAGTTTTATAGTTTTCTTTGTCCTCTCCTATTTGTCGTAGGGGTAGCAGAATTTTCCAGATATCTGGGACAGGTGTTGAATTATTCCTAACACACGTATTTGCAGTTGATTCGATAAACAAAGCTTCTGTTATCAATCAGAAGGGAGGGAGAGATTTCTTTTGTACTAGATGGGAACAATGCAATGAAAATGTGTATATTGTGCTGTCCATGTACTTTTCTTGCGCAAATTCATTTTTATACTACACTCTGGTCTTCTTTTAGAATGTCTGAGAAGGCATTTTTTCGTTGAAATTCTTTTTCGCACGTACATTTGATAGTTGGATGAAGTTCACTGAATTGTGATACTATAGCACATCTGACCAAAGCCATTTTCACAAAGAATGAACGTATCATCCATATATCGATTTTTCAAAATCGTCAAGGTCATTATTAGATAGATTATATATGTCTATCTTTATACGCAGTTTTTTTAACCTTGATTTAATACAAGTGAAATGTTAATCGCAAATTGCCTGAAAGTAATATCAGAATAAATAATAATTTTAATTTGGGGAAGAAAGCTATGCCACATGGAAAGAATGAAACGATTGAGGAGATATCGAGTAAATCAATTTACGAAATAAATGCCTACTCCTTCACTTGTAGAAATTCCTTCAGATGAACATAGTGCTTCAATAACACGAAGAAATACTGCTGAACGTATTAGTGTATTTAGTTGGAAAGATGATGTAAGTCCACTTATAACCTCTTCATTCCTTTTTTTCTCTCCTTATTTCCATCTTTATTTAACCAATAATCTTATTATTTTTATTTTCTAAAAATATTTAGAGTTGTTTCAGTGTTTCAGAAAATACAAAATCTAGAGATTTTAGACGAAAACGTTATAAACGACAGAAAGGTGAATATACAGTTGCTAAAGATCCAACACCAGAAGCATTACGTGAATTGATAGGTCCACCACAAGATCATGATAATGAAAATGTTAACGGTTATATTAACACTAAAGAAAATAAGAAGCAATAACTAACCAACCGAAAATGGAACTTCATGAACACTTCAATCATACTGACTTTGTTTTCTAGTTGCTTTTGCTATTTCATTTCAAAGTGTCCATCAAACATGAATTAATGTTTAAAACAAAACTGATGTTTAAAATTCATTTGATGATTTATTTTTATGCTCAAATGTCAAACTATACATGTCGTTACTTCATTATCAAATGATACAATCCCAAACTTGCAATCAAAGATTATTAATATCTATCAACCATAATAAGCTTGATGTGACATATTCAAAGTTAAATGGGATCTAAACATTGTTAATCTGAAGTGATTATTTCTTTTGCTTTATTTATTTCAAAGAATCGATTTCGTTCAGTTTTTCTGAAGACAGAAAATAGTTTAAAATTTACTTTTCTTTGATTATGCAGTTCATTTCAGAATTATTTTGTTTAAATCAACTGAAAATATTGAATTCAATGAAAAAATACATAAATTTTGAGATTATGACCAGCTAATATATGACCTTGAGTACTTTTTATCTTGCAAGGACACGAGGACAAACTGATTATGTAAGAGAAGGATACTAACTGGGATTGAAAAGCTGATCATGTTTCATGATTATATACCACCGTCTAAAATTATGAGATATTAAATGATATTTTGACGGTTTACTTTTGTAGTCTTACTGGTGATAGTCAAAATCATCTTATTTATGACGGAACATAGAAAGTCATCCCTCATATGATACTGTTTAAAAGATTATTGTATCACTGCATTTAACTATTTCTTATGAATATGTAACTTACTAGAATCAATGGAGTAATTAATGATACCGATCAACTTTACGTGAGTACACGTAATTCTTTGGTTTCATATGATTTCAAATAACTGGGTTATATAAATTGTTATTTACAGTTCCCTAAGAACAAGCCGACTCAGTGAAAGCTATCAATGAAATTACAGGAATTTGAGACTTCAAATAACGATATAAATTCATTTGGTGTTTATCATTTCTGGCGATACTATTAACTGAAGCATATTTACAGATCATATGATTAATTAGGTACTAGTACAATTTTTCTCTGTCATTTCAGTTATAATTGGGGGTAAGATATTCGCATTACCTTAATCCTCTTAATCTTAAATTTCGTTTAGTCGCGATAAAAAGTATCACTTTTCTAGACTAACAATTGTGTTAATTTGGTGGATGACGATTAGTAAAGAGACCCAGGTTTTATTTTTACTTTGTCCTATTTTGGACCCATCAACTCGATGCACCTGCATTCTCCACTGACTTATAGTGTTCTCATTGAAATTCAAACCCACAATCCATCGTTTCAAACATCAAGACGTTATCCACTAGATCATCCGGACGACTAGAACCACCTCTTGTGGAACGGATATCAGTTGTTATTATTTGTTTTTAAGTCAACGTTCAACAAATTACTTTAAAATAATTTTCAGACATTGTCAAAGCATCTGTTCTAGGCGCCAACATGTTAACAGTAGTCAAACATTTCTGTCCAACCAGTGAACAGGAAAGTCAATAATGACTCAAAAACAAATAACAGAAATTACATTATTTAATGGTGTCATCACGCTTGATGATTGCTGCGCTTGTTTGATACTTGTTTAGATGAGGGATTATTATTTAAGTAAACGCTTAACTCCAGCTTCTTTGCATTTCGACAGTGTTGCGATCTTTTGTTTTGCGTCATTCAAAATAGTTACATTTCTAAGTTCGTGGACGTTTTGACCTGTTCAACAAGTTGACGCATAACCTTAGGGTTGTAGATTATCTTTACAATTGATATTTCGTAAATTGCATTTATCCTGTCAGCCTTTGACAATGGAATTTTGGTGTACACAGTAGGTTTTATTGCTATGTCAATGCATGAAAGCCCATGCAATCTGTAAATACACTTCACTCGTTAATGAACTTCATGCTACAAAATGTTATACCACTTAACATGATGACACAACGGTTACAATGAAATATTTGAATGCTTGGGAATCCGTAAAATTTTATAAATTTTCTATTATTTTAAAATCAAGGAAAGAAATATTCCTTTGACTGACAACTACAGAAGAGTATAATTTTGGCATTGATAGACCATCATAGAAATTTAACTTCACCTATTTTGCCAGTACACAACTTTATTAACCAATCCTAAGCGCGGAAAAAGGGAGAATGTACGGTTAGTAACCCTACACAGAAAAATCAACCTCATCACCGAATAAATTTCGAAACACAAAAAGATATGCAAAAAAACTAATTCCTCCATGGAATCGAAACGAGCCAGTGAAAGCAAAAGAAAATTTTATGTCAGTGGCAACCAAAGCAGAAGAGATCAAAGGTAAGAGAGACTCGAGAACACTTAGCCAGATAACCAGGTCGCTAACCGTGAAGAAGTCAGTATAGATCAAATCAAACAAAAATAGTGAAGGAAACCTTATTATCAAAGAAGAGAAACAAAGGGAACAGTAGGCTGATCACTTCGAAGGATTCTTGAACCGATCACCATCTGACAGTCACCCAGAAATAATTCCAGCATCCACTGGACTGCCAATGAACATCGGTCCCCCGACTAAAACAAAAGTCTTGATTGCTACATAGTTACCAAAAGCCAGGAGCGTGTAATACAACTCCCAACGCTTAAAGTTTTTTTTACCGTGTACACATACGGACTGGCTCCACCGCCATTTTTTGTCTTTCCGTTGTACTGTCAACAAGCACATTCTCTGAGTTTGTAATACAGCCATATTCATTAAATAAATTTTCAACCTTTTTCCATGAATGGTTTCGGCTTTTTATTTTACCCACATATACTGCCCACCAAAACACATTTCCAACCAACTAAGTCTTTTTAGTTTGCTTTTTATCGTCTATGCCTACATGTTAAGTAGAGTGCGTATTTATTGGGTAACTAGGTAAATTACGTTTTAATAAAGGCTGACAAAGTATGGCCTATCAAATCGGATTTACATTGGACCTCATCATTACTGATTTACAGAGCTACACTCCTTTAATTGGTAGACTAGTGTCTCCAGAAGCCAGTGAACTTACCGTTTCCTATGTTCATGTTATGGCAGTGTATTCAAGAAAGCATCCAACTGCGCAAGTTAAGGTTAATGCCAAGTCAGACAAATCTACCTGATATCAGTTCGTCTGTAGCACGTTTTACCAGACGTAAGAGCTATGTAGACAATAAGTACTGTTTGGCGTAAAGATGTTGGAATGACAGATCTAGGGGTGTCTGTAGACACAGCGTAAATATGTCATCCTCACTTTTGGGAAGAGGCACACGCTCTGTCTTCAGAGAGGTGTTGTAGTAAAGTTTATTTATATTCAAATCTGATGACTGAAGTTCTGTCATTTTTCGCAATTCGGTGGTTGGCGGAACTGTCATAGTACAGTATATTATAAAGAATACGCTTAACGAATTATAGAAATTAATCGTTACTTGGTGATACAGTTATAGCCACCTGCTACAAATTATTAATATAATCCACAGAAGCATTCACTACTGGAGTCGTGTCTACCAGTATAAGTTGTGCACCAGTTGTAGATGATAAGGATGAGAGGTTTCTGCAAAATTCAAAAGATACAACACTTTTAGTAGTGAAGCAAGCAGACAGTATGGACCAGTGAACAGACGAAGCGTCGAGGGGCACACTGTATTTTAGACTGTACTCCGAAGCTATGCATATTCTACAACGAATCGTTAAAAAAAAGTTAAATACAATGTTTCCATTTTCAACATCAAACAAAACACTGCGCAATCATATTGTTCTAGACTCCACAAACGTTTAATTTTGCAAACACAGTGATGGAAAGTATGGTGGAAAACCTTGTCAGACACATGGAAGGGCATTCACCACTCACTATCTTTCAGCAGATTTGAGGCCTTACAAATCATCAATAAGATATCGTTCAACACTGATAACTCTTCTCATCCTTCTGAATTCCTTAATCACTATTAACCGCTGAGTGACCATAGTGTTCTGTGTTCAATAGACCCCACGCCTCCACACAGGTTTCCCCGGTAATGGTATATAAAGTCTCCGACTTTGCTCTGATGGCTGTAGTGAATGTGTCATTTGTAGTTTCGTCATCCAGATTTTCAGTGTTGGACTTGAACTGCGGTCTATCTACAGCTTCTTTCGATGCTTCCAACTTGACCCTGTGGGGTACTTCCAGTGGATAATAGTCTAAGTTACAATCTTATCGCCTTCCAGATTTTTTATCCAGCAGGCTGCGTCTCCACCTTATTAAGGTTAAGACGAAGTCTCTCAGATTCTTGCTGTGTCCTTCAGGTGAAATCCATGTTGCCTTATGTGTATCCTTATACTTGTACATACTACCTCCAATAACTAAATCTTTGAATGCACAGAAGTCTGCGAACAGTTCGCTCTCATTCATTCCGTCCAGCGAGAGACTCTCAACCCGTGATGAGTTCTCTTCCTGTGTTGTCTCCTTCCAGTCTAGCATTCACACCGCCCATTAGGATTTTGTTGTCTCTATTTAAGATGTTATCCATTTCTGTCTGCAGTTTTTCATAAAAATCTTTCTTCTTCAGCATGTTCCAAGTTGTCTGTAGGTGCGTAGCATTGGATAATTGTAGCCATCCTTCTTATTCAGTTGAATCTTGCTGTCATAATCCTGGAGAAGACTGGTTCCCCCTGTATAAGACTTTTGGCTGTTGCCGGTGAAATCACTTTAGCCACTCCCTCAGTGTACTCGTGGTTGTCGTCTGGGTGACCGGAGTAGATTACTGAGCCCCCTCCAGTTGACAATCTGGATAGTTCGCATCTGCTCCTGAAGATTCTTAGCACTACAATGTCATGTCTTTTCATTTTCTTGGCTACCCAGAGAGCCTTCACAGCTTCTTACTTTGTGAAGACATTCTGCATCCCCACATTTGTTTTTACCTGGACCTATTTTGCGCAAGCGCATAGTGGAGAATTTTTGGAGACACTTCAATCCTTGTTGAAATTATGGAGGAAGGTTTATGGGCATCTATCGCGTGTGTTCTATACACCATCTCATCGGTGACTTAAGTTGTAACTGGCTGACGAACTT